ACAAGTGGAGGCTGCTCAAACTTCTTGCCTCCTGTTTTCACACCAGGGTTAAAGTATACTTCTCCCCACCCCAAGATGTTCTTTCCAAAGAAAACAAGCTGTCATTCAGAAGAAAGAAAAACAATGATCCAGAGAAAAGTGGAAACCAAGGATCAGTTCAAGTGTCCTTGGTTCGGCAGAGGCTGTGAGCTTTGGCCTGTGTTGGTGGCCAGGAGGCTAACTCCTATGGCATTGTCAGAAAGTGCATGGCAAAGGGAGGGGATTAGACTGAAGCTGAGTTGTACCTGAGGCAGTGGGTCAGGCCAGGTAGGGAGGGGCATGGTGGTGAGCTGTTATCCACTGGACACAGGTTCCAGCAGTCCCTAAGCTAGGAGGGAAGGGGGCTGCCCGGCTTCTATAGCTGTAACAAAAAGCTACTCCAGTTTCTAACAGTTACCAGAGCAGGAGTCCACCTCCTGTCCTCAAAAGCTACAGGGTTGGGCAATGCAACCAGAAAGGGTTCAAGCACTTACTTTCTATTTCAAGCAGGAGCCAGGGCAAGGAGGAAGTCGTGTAAATGATCAGTATAGTGCACGGTGGGCATCTCACCCTGCTGGTCAGGACTCAGGACCCCACAGATCTCCCACAATTGTTGGTTGTGCTTCGTTCAAGCTGCTCCTCAAACAAGATAATTCCCTGCAGAGCAAGGGTAGTTGAAACCCACCATGACAAAACAAGAGGCACAGCAAGAAGCCCTTTGGGGCCCATGAGCCATCAAGGACGCTGTGCTTATCAGGCCCAAACACACTGCCTGCTCTCCTCCATGTAGCCTGGAGTTGGACTATCAGTTCTGTAAAGAGGAGACTAGGAAGTCTTGGTACCAACTGGCAGCTGTCTAGCCTATAGGATGACCACTTGCTCTATGTCAAGGTTGTCTGTGTCAGGAGCTGCCATACAAAGAAACAATGCCATAGTCCCTCCAGCTCTGCCAGCCTTTCCTTCTGCCCTTCTGGCTCTCCCCCACCACTGGCTGCACCTTAGCTAGGGAGCACTCTTGGAAGCTCCAAGAAGGGCTGCATAGGCAGCCTGGGTAACAGGCAGGTCCAGTGGCAGCCCAGACTGCTCTTCCTGGGGCCAGGAAAAGTCATTCTTGCTCTAGCTGCCCCTCGAACCTCTGAGGACCCCAAAAAGGCTCCAACTAAGGCACTACTGAGCATGGGGTTGGGAAGGGCTCTGGTTCTGCTGGTTCTCAGGCAAGAAGTAGTTTTTGGAGGAGTTTAGTGAACCTGAGATACACCAGGAAAATACAGAATTATCAGTGGCTTCCCTGACTTTCTCTCTCAAACCTGGGAGGGTAAAGGGGCAAGAAGGGCCAGCCCCAGCACTCCCATTCTCCTCTGACCACAGCTGGGAACATGCAGAGCTCCCCTTGGAGAGCAACAGCTGGGGCACATGCCACAGGGTCACCTGACTAGGCTGCTGGTTATATCGGGCACCAGGCGTCCATTGATCTGCTTTAAATAGACCCCTGGGAATGTGCCTCTTTCCTCCTTAGAGGAGGAGGAAGACCTCCCCGCCCCTTCCATGGGCTTGTCCTGCTTGTTCACAGGCCTAAGCTTAAAATGACAAAATATCAACTGCCAACCAAAGAGGGTTATTCTTCAGCTGTTTGGGGATAGCCACACCCAGCAGCCCCACTTCTGTCTACAAAGAAGATGGGATTTAGTGGGCAGCCCCAGATCAGGCCAGCCAAGTCTTATTGGCTAATTCAGCTCCCAGTTGGCTGCCCACAGAACCTAGGCAAGGCTATGACACTATCCAAATGGGAACACAGGCCCACTGGGCATGAGTCTGCAGCTTTCCAACTTCATAACTTCAGAGGACGCTGCCCTTGTAACAGAAGCTTCTAATCTACAAATCCTCCTTTCCCTGCCCAGCAAGCTTACTTAGCCTGAGCCTACTGCTCTGGAAATCTGGACTCTTAAGACCTCTCAGACAGACCCAGGGTCCCAACACTGTTCACTCACAAGCAAGTGCCTCCCCTCCCTCTCACTAGCTCCCCCCGTCTTTCCCTGAGTCTTTGGGTGTGGCATACAAGTGAGAAAGCTTTCCCTGTCCACCCGCCTCCTGCTCACTTCCTCTTTTAAGGAGTGTTTCCATGGGGCTACATTAGGTAATGTGAGTACATTGCCAAGTAGGCTGGAAAAGTCAGACCAAGTACAGATAAAGAGGAAAGGAAGAAAAGCAGTCCTGCTCCTGAACCATGAGGACATCATTCCTCTAACAATGAGACCCCTGAAAGCCTGAGGTACTGGCAGAGAGGTCCCCGAGCAGGAAAGAGGATCAAGTCCTTGCACAAGCCTGTTCCACCTGACTAGAGGAAGGGTCTCATTTGGACTGACCAGAGGGGATGCCTGCATGGGCAGCACCCTCAGTGGGGCTCTCTGCTGCACTATCTTGCTGCTCAAAGTAGAGAAGGCCTCCACAGAGAGGGCATGGGCAATAGGAACACTGTATAGGCCCCTGTTCTGCTGCATGACTGCAGTGAAGCTTCGCACTCTCAGGTCTCAGCTGTCCCTATGTAAAAGAGAGGAAACAGGAATGGATGACCAGGAGCAACCCAGGATTCTGTGCCTCTTCGTACAGTGCAAACTGGAATCTGAGTTCCTTGACAGAAGGATGCTAACCCTGGGGTGATGCATGAAAGAAGTCAGAGTAACTCAGAAACCCTTTCACTTCTGACAGGAATTCATCTACTTTTCCACCATAGAAACATCTGCCTGCTAGCTCCACCATCATTAAAATGACAACTTCCTTTCTCTAGCTAGTCTAGTTTCCTTCAAAACAGACAACAGAAACATCCTGGGAATGAAGGACAGATGACAATCCTGAAAGGTGTTTGGGGAGGGCTAGCTGACAGTGCAGGAGGGGAGGGTAACAGTTCCCAAAGCCAGTAAGATGGAAGGCTGCCTTGACTCTCCCAGCCCTGGCCAGGCCCCACACAGAGGGCATTTCTGCAGCCTGGGTCTCTCTTATAGCTGGTGACTGTTCATGGGCATATCATCTCCTGGTTAGTGCAGGGATAAAGGGACATGTCTATGTCATGGAGAGGGGGAGGGTGGGAGCAGGATGATTAAAACAGTGTTCTGTGAAGAGCAGCTGGAAAAACTAGAGAAGGTATCATGGGGCTGGGGATGTAGCTTAATGGTAGAGCACTTGTGTAGCATGCATGAGGGCTCTGGTTCCAGCACTGTGGGCAGAGAAGGTACCATGTACTTCACAGAAAGGAAATTCAGAAGGTGCACATCAGCTGCCACCCAGTTTCTGAAAAACTGTGAGGAGAAGATGGCTGGATCCTAACTGATCAAGTGGGACTCACAGGAGGTGGACAGGAGTCCAATCTGCTGCAATGGGGCGGCTGCCTTAGCAGGCAGGGCTCTTCAACATCAGAGGTGCTCAGGCAGAGGCTGCATGCCACAGAAGGGTAGCAAGACATGTACAGCATAGAAGTCTTGGTCAGATGACCTGAAAGGTGATTCTCAACCTGCTAGGCCAGGCAGCAGTGCTGGGAGGGGCAGGCCACAGCCTATCTCAGGCAGAACCGCAACAGAGAGCACTGCCTGCCCAGCGACAAGGTGGCAATCACCAAAAACCAAAAGTCTGTTACCTACTGCCACCCTCATCCCTAGGATTAAGGGAATTGCCTTGGTGAACTGGTTAAAGCTGGGTTGGCACAAGGCTCTAAAGAGGCACTGGCTCCCTTGTACCCACAGGAGGTGGAAGGGTAAAGAAGCCCTAGTGCACACTAGGATCCAACTCAGACTGGCCTAGAGCTTTGCCTTGGGCTCTTGGGCACCCCTAGAAAGAAAAGAGGCTCTCTATATAGACAGGCCTCTTCTTCTTAGGCTAGAGGAATAATTCCAAGCCAAGAGAAAGGGATTAGTGACTTCTGATCCCATCTGGACAAAGACCCCCTAGAGAAGAAGGAGCACATTTACTCTTCTCACAGACCAATAAATATATGGGTAAAGAAATCAGACTAGTGGAAAAGAATGGAATACACCAGAAGACTCAGGTTTGTATCCCCAAGTCAGGACCACCTTCCCCCATCAGTTTTCACCTTTAGCTGATCCCAGCTAGAGTCCCCATGAATCTGCTCTTGAAGTCTGATTCTTCTGCATACAATGAAAGCCAAGTACACCAGGCTGGAATCCTGAGGCCTGTCTCCCCCCACTCCCCAAAGGCATTCAGGGGAGGCACCAAAAGTACTGAATGACCCAGGGGCTGGCAAGGGAGCTATGCCAGCAGAGGTACCCTGGCCAAACTTGGGAGTGGTGTCTCAAGATAAAGGAATGTTAACAGCAAACTCCTACCACCTCATGGTCAGAAACTCTTTAACAACCCTGGCCTCGGATGGCAGTCCCTCAAAGCAAGCTCTCAATGTCACTATTATCCCCAGCTTCCCTGGCCAATTCTATCTCCTGCCTCCTCCAACTTCCTGCTTCCCTCATGAGCCACCAGGGGTGCATGGGGTGAGACCTGACAAACCCGTTCTGCGGGCTGTGGGAGGAGAGAAGGTGGCTTCCTGGTGCTGCCTCACAGTGTGTGGCCAGCCCCCTTGGACTCCAGATACTCTCTGCCTCTGTCTCGCCCTCAACAGGAGTGTCTGCCTCTCCCACAGAAGCCCCAACAGGAGTACACACAGAATGGCGGCCACTGACTTTGTGCAGGAGATGCGCTCAGTGGGTGAGAGGCTATTGAAGAAGCTGCGAGGGCTTCCCCAGGCTGAGCCCGTGGAGCTTGTGGCTTTCTCCATCATCATCCTTTTCACAGGCAAGTGGGGCACTCTGATTCTCCCCAGTGCCTCATGACCCTTCCTGACATCTGGGAGAGAACAGACCATGGTGGTACTCAGTAGAGGCTGGCGGGGCGGTGGGTATCCTCCAGGTATGGAGGAAAAGCAGTTGCTTCTTGAGCAAAGCTAAGTGATTTCCCCATATCCTCTGACATTGCCCAAGTGATGGGCAATGCTGGGTGGTGCTGGGAATTGAGCCCAGCAGTACTACCAGGTGTCAACCTGACAAATGAAGGGAACCCAGCTTGGGCAGCAAAGGAGACAACAGCGAGAATGCCAGGGCCTGGGACTAGCATGAACAGTCAACATCCCGTCAGACTCTCAGGTCTTTCTGATTACTAAGTCAGAGTTGGGGAAAAAAGCCTTGCACACCTCCAGAAAGGTTTCTTTGGAAAGAGGGCAAACATCCTTTCCCTCCCTGGCTTCTGAGGTCCCCATGCTCTCCTGTCCTGCAGTCACTGTTCTGCTGCTGTTGCTGACAGCCTGCAGCTGCTGCTGTGCTCACTGCTGCTGCCCAGAGCGGAGAGGAAGGAAGGTTCAGGTGCAGCCCATGACCCCCCCATGAGGGACAGCACTGGGATGAATGAAGAGAAGATGGACAGAAGACCCCCAGATGCAGGACACAGGCTGTTGACCTGCTCTACGGTCCTCACCCCTCTGGACAAGGATTCCCTGTCCCAGCTCTGGCTGTGCCCAGGTACCAGGACACTGATGCCCAGAACCTTATCAAGGAAACAAGGGTTGGTACAAGCATAAAACTCTGCCAGTGGACACTGGGTGCCGAGGAGGAGCTGACTGCTTCAAAGACTCAGTAAGCCACCTGAGTCCTCTGCCAAACTCATTTTTTTTTTTTTGCGCAAACTCACTTTTTCAGAAAATGAAGATGTAGGAGTCCCCATATTTTGTGGGGAACAGCCCACACCTATGGGGAGCTGGCCCTTAGGGCTCTGCTAATTCATGCCAAAGAGGAGCAAGTCAATCAGAGAGACTTTGTGCAACAGCTACTGGATTCCAAGCTTCCCACCAGAGGGGAACATGTCAGTATTCTAGCCCAATATTTGCCTGTTTATTTCCAAGTAAAAGTTTTTGGTTATGTGTTTCTGAGGTCGATTTGGGCTCTGTGCACCAGGGGTGTGGTACCAGAATCCCAGGGCCATGGCCAGTGATTTTTTTTTTTCCAGGCTGTTCTCCCTATGCCAATGAAAGCTGGAAAATCACGCAATGGCATGGGTCCAGTATAGGGACACAGTGATACTCTTGTCTTACATCAGCTGCTAACAAGCACTGGCTGCTGAATGGGCTCTGTTGAGTGATGGAAACTGTCTGCTGCAGGTTAGGTACTAGGCCAAGGAATACCACTTAACATTTCCCCCTGCCCTTACCTTCTGCTACACACCCCTCACTAACAGGCTTAGACTACTGGATCCTCCCAAACTTCTGTAATCAGAGAAGAGAGCTTAGGCCCCTCAGTAGTCTATAATCTGCATTCTGACCCATTGGACCTGTCCCCGTCTGTGTGCTGACTATCTGGGACTACACCGTCACAAGTTACAAGTTGTGTGACTCAACCTCCGCAATTCATTTTTCCCTTCTAGTGAAATGGGCTAATCTGGTGCTTGCTTCCTGGGTATGATGGGAGGATAAACTAAGATGAACTATGTCTAGTACTTAGTATAATGCTGGCATGGCCTAAGAGCTGCATAATTATATACTTTCATTATTTGTCCCTCTTAACAAGGGACTAACTCAGAATACGTGGAACCATTTTAAAGAACAGTCCTGGGCTTGGGAGGAGGTAGTGGGTCAAGAGGTAAAGTGCTTGCCTAGCATGTATGTATGAGGCCCTCAGTTCAATCCCCAGAACTGAAGGGGAAAAAAAAAAGAATAGTCTTATTGAAAGGCAACTCTTTCCTGCCTCTGTCCCTTTAGCTCACCTTCTCTTCCAGAGATGCAGCTAAAAACCCAGAAATGGGGACCAGTGGAGAGGAGTGTGAGGCTCCATACCTGCCAACAGGTCAAGGGCAGAGTTTTCAGTGGTGACACTCTGCTAGCTCTCAAAAGCCATAAAGAGCTCTGTAATTTCTCACATGCCTCTGTCACCTCTGGGTGACAGAGGGTCTATGCAGCACAAGCTCTGCTTGCCTGAGAGCAGAGCCCCATCTACCCATGAAACAGATCATGGAGAGGGGATGCTAGTCTCTGATATCTCCAGTTGGCAATTCAGGCCACATGGGCAGGGACAGGAGGCAGAAGTTCTCACTGGCTGGCTCCACTTCCTGGGTTCATGGACTTGCCTGACAAGTTTGAAGACCCACAGAGGAAGTGTTTCCAAATAAAAGAAAAGAAACCCAAGAATCTTCCTGTTCAGACCCCAAAGAACAGGATTCACAATAACAATGATGACGACGACGATGATGATAAATACAGCTAAAACTTCACTGAGGGCTTGTGCATGCCCATGCATTGTCTTAGGGTTTGGATTTTTGTTTGTTTTGCTTTGGAATCAGAGTCTCACTATGTAGCAAGACGAGGCTGGCCTCAAACTTGAGATCCTCCTGCCTTAGCCTCTAAGTGCTAGGATTACGGGCGTGTACCTATGCCTGACTTGTCTTAAATATTTTGATACAGATAAATTAATTTAGTTATCACAATACCTTGACGCTATAGATATTATTCCCATTTAGAGATGAGGAAGTTGAGTCTTAGTGACACTAGGCGATTTGTCTTAAGTTTGACCAGCTGGAAAATGGCAGAGCCATCCTCTGGGTCCAGCCTGTCTGGCCCCAGAGCTCCTGCTCACCACACCCAAGGCTCGAGGCCTCCAGGGTGCAAGACAGATAAGGCTGATTCCATTATCCTTAATCAACTAACCCTATACCCAAATACCCACACCCAAACTCTGTCTCAAAATTATCTGCATATGAGTAGGATCCAACAGGTAAGAATTGGGGTGGGCCTCAAGCAGATGTCAGAAGAAAAACCCAGGGACAGCGGAAGGGACAAGAAGCCCTACATTTTTTCACTCCTAGCACCACCAGCTGACAAGTCCTGTAAGCCCAGCCCTCTCTTAATTCTTTCTGACTCTTCCTATCTACAATCCTAGCTACTTGGGAGGCAGAGATCAGAAGGACCAAGTTTTGAGGCCAGCCCATGCAAATAGTTTGTGAGACTCCCATCTCCAAAATAAATAGAGCAAAAATGGACTAGAGGTAGAGCACCTGTTTTGCAAGCTTGAAGCTCTGAATTCAAACCCCAGTCCCATCAAACAAACAAACAAAATAACCCAAAAAACTAAAAACAAATTAATTTTGTCCTTCAAAGCAAAGTTTCTTCCTTCTCTTTGAATCCTGTTCCAAACCAGGGATCCTGCTCCCTAAGTCTGACTCCTAGTCTTCAAGTCTCCACTTACACATATCACTTTCTCACAGAGGAACCCCGCTCAGCACACAGACAGGCTATGACGCCTGTACTTGCATCTTCCTCCTCTACCCAGCATGTCATTCTCTTCACAGTGATCATGACACAGAATTATCCACTTGGGGACAGCAGCTAACTGAAAAAAATCAGTAAAAGCAACTTTCTTGTATATGACACATACTCTCCTTACACACCTCATTTGAATTGGAAACACACACACATTCCTTGGCCCCTTTCTGGGGTGGGGCAGGCTGTGTCTTTTCTCTCTGAATGTGGGCTTGCTGACCACTGTTCCTATAGTATCTATTCTGTAGTTTTGCTTTCATCAGAGCAGAACAAGAACTTAAAGGTGAAGGAATCTGAGTGTGAAATGCCACTGGATTTTTACAAAATGTGCCCAATGTTTAGTTATCATCTCTGAATTTCTTTTGACAGGCGTATTATCTGAGTAACTCTAGGGTTGATGGAGTGGCTCAAGTGGTAGAGTAACTAGCATGCTTGAGGCCCTGAATTCAACTCCTAGCATCACCAAAAAAGGTTGTTACAAGGTGGTCACATAGGTATTTATAGAAACTTTTCCTCTGAGGTATGCCATAGTGCCTCACAGCTCAGACTTCACCTGGCTCTAAATTATGATCCAGTTAGCTTATTAGCCATACAACCTTGGGTAAGATACTTAACATCTCTGTGCCTGTTTCCCATGTGTAAAACTGGAGTTTCAACTATCATTATTGCTTCATTTGTTTATTAGATGTTACATTCAATTATGTAATTATGACAACAAGCACAACTACTACAAACTGGTTTGGCAACACACTCTTGATGGAGCAGACTTAACTGACTTAACTGATGGAGCAGAAGTACCAGGGCGTGCCAGAGGCCAGCCTGCTGGCTGTGCACATTCAGCATGCTAAGGACATTAGTCAGCAAGTTTCACACAAGGAAATGGAAACCATCAGGCCAGTCACAGGTCAATTCAGCCCACAAAAAAGTTAAGAGCATTTACTGAACTGCTCATCATTTATAAACCACTGCTGGCTACACCTGGGGAGCCTTAACACCATACCTTGGCATCCAAAAGACTGATGTTAAATGGTATCAGGTGAGACCTGGACATTTCTCAAAGCTCCCAGGTAGCAACAAGCAAGGTTGAGGGCCTGTGGACCATAAGGTAAGTTCTCAAAGGGCAAGGCCCACCTCTCGTATTACCACTGAACACAGTGCCTGGAAGTTTCTGGCTCAACAGATCTACATGTCCTGGTTTTTATGTTTTTGTTTTTGTGGTAGTGGGGTTTTGAACTCAGGGTCTTGTGCTTGCTAGGTAGGCGCTCTACCTCTTGAGCCACTCCACCAGCCCCTTCCCATCCTCATTTTAAAGGAGTCAACAGTGGCCATCAGGTTTCAATCACAGAGTACCCACTTCATTCCTTCTTGTTAGCTTCCCTATCACAACAGGAGATAGGAATTAACCACATACAGCAACTAATATGGGGCACCAGGAAGAAGTTAGGATCCAATGGTGATTGGCTGCAATGGTGATCTAGGAGGCAGCATTCAGAAATGCAATTAATCATTAACCCACAACACAGGAAGTGATGAGTGGCAGTCCCAGCCCCAGAGCTTCCTGAGTTTTGGGCAGGTTTTCTCAGTGAACAGGTCATCTAGCCTGCGAACCCAATCCAGCTGTGCACAGGTGAGATAGATGAGTGCCCTGGGGCACAGGCCCTGCATGGACTCTTCCCCTATCCCAACCCAAATTTGACTTCTCTCATGGAAGACTCTAACCCATGCCCTGTACACCCCACAGTGACATCACAAAAGGGCAGAACTCAGCTGAGGGGAATGTGAATGGCAGAAAGGGAGCAGAGGCTGCTAAGCAACCCACCCTCCCCCCCTCCACCTTTGTTTGCTCTGGTGGCAACAATGAAGGTCTGGTCAGGGCCACTTGGCAACATAGATGGCTTTTCCTCCCAACAGTTGCTTCTTTGAGTCAAGCTGCAGCTCTGCTCACCCGGCTGCCTCTTTGGCCTAGGGGCCCCTCAAAGTGTGGGGCCTGAAGGACAACTGTGACTTGCCCTCTCAGGACTGTTAGCAGCAGAACCAGGTAACACCTCCTTTCTTCTTCCCCCATATTCCCTTCAATTGGTCCTGGGGTGGCAGCCTGCTGTTACCAGCTCCATTTCCAGAAGAGTTAGGCCTCGTATTTTCAGCTGCCTTCAGCTACTTACTGAGGCCTAAGCCACTATACCTAATTTTTTTCTTCTTTGAAACAGGGACTCCCTATGCTTCCCAGGTTGGCCTGGAACTCCTGGGCTCAAGTGACCCTCCTATTCGTTTCCCAAGTAGTTGAGATTACAGCATGTGCCACTACACCCAGCTGGGCTTCAACATTGACCTCTCAAAATGCCTACCAAACATTTAGTAATTGGGACAGGAGAAACAGAGGGGATCAGGCTGGAGGTGTGACTTAAGTGTAGAGTGCCTGCCTTGCAAACCCAAGTACTATTAAAAAAACCAAAAATTTAAAAAAACTTTTAAAGATAGGGGGTACCCACAGTAGTGATTTTAGATTCCAGCTGAGTAGGCCTCAGGGATGGAACAGACATTTTGGCTCCCACCGGGGCTATTCAAGCAGGAACTGGAGACTCCAGAGACAGTCTCCAGGAAGAATGCAGGGCCCTCTATCAAGAAGAAACTCCATTTGTTCCGTGCTGGACACTTTGAGTCCAAAGACTCACCATCCCCTCAGCATCCACTAGCTACCGAGATGGCCAGCTGTGACTGCCGTGGAAGTCAAGGCTGGAGGTTTGAAGAGCAATGCCAGGGCCTTGAGTGCTCCCTGTACTCAGGGCCTCTGTCCCCTCTTTTCCAGGTTTACATGGATCAAATAGTATTCAAGAACATCTGGAATGATGAGTTCTGGGAGAACCCCTGGAATCTGGGGGGCCTGATAGTGATTGGCTTATTCACCATCACGTTCCTGTTTTTCATCTTGTTTGCTGTTGTGTTTGGTTTGCTCTCAACGACGGAGAGGACTGAGGGTGAAAAGGAGTGACCTAATTTCCTGGGGGCCCAGAAGGCAGCAGGGAGAAGCAGACTGACCCTGCCTGCTTACCTCATCCTGCAGTTGCCCCTTCATAGGCCCTTCTGGCTCGGGGCCAAGTCCTGGTGTCCTGTCTCACCAGGAAAGAGTCTAGTCAAATAGTGGATCTGGCTTAGGGGTTGGTCAGATAGCAAGATGGGGAGGCTGGTTTGATACCCATTCTGGGTCCCCCACCCTGCTGCCACCACAACCCTCAAGCACATGAAGAGGGCCTCTCCTATGCCTCAGGTGAGAGGAGTGATGGCTAACAAGGTCCTCTAACAGCAACTTCACAAGTCCTTGACAGAGGAGGACACAAAACCACTAGATGAAGTAAAAATTCCTTTTCAAATCTGCTAACTTTGTGAGAGCTTATTTTCCATCTAGATGTGGTAACTAGAATCAGCTTCCCTAGCAAACCTCACTGGGCTTTTAAGTATCTAAGGTCTAGCCTATCTCACCTGCTGCCTAGCATGTGTCCCTGGGTTCTCAGCATGACTTTCAGTTCCTGAATATGCCATGGTCTCTCCTGCTACAGGGCCTTTGCACACATTCTTCCCTCTGACTGGGATGCTCTCCGTCATTCCACACCTCACTCCTAGTTAGTGCTTTCTCATTCTTCAGATCTCGTTCTAGACCTGCCTTCTTCAGTTAAATGTTCCCTGACCCTCTAGATTGGGGAAGGGCCACCTATTATTCACTCTCAAAACACAATGTACCTCATTTTTCAGAAAGTACTGGGGCTTGAATTCTAGGCCTGGCATTTGCTAAGCAGATGCTCTGCCACATGAGCCACACCTCCAGCCATCATGTAACTTTTCTTCAACCCCTTTCATGAGGAATATTATAATTTTTTTTTTGTGGTGGGATTGGGGTTTGAACTCAGAGTTTTGCACTTGCAAAGCAGACACTATTTGAGCCACACCTCCAGTACATTTTGCTTTAGTTATTTTGGAGATGGGGTCTTGTGAACAATTTGCCCAGGCTGGCCTTGTTCTCCCAATCACAGCCCCCCAAGTAGCTAGGATTACAGGTGTGGGCCACCAGTACTGTATTTTTTTATATGATTATCTGAAAAGTGCCTGTTTTCCCTATGGGACCAAGCACCACATTGTATCCTTTTGACCAGTGTGCCTGATAAAATTAGCATCAATCAGTATTTGCTGGCTGAATAAGTGAATGAATGAGAAAATGGGTACATAAATGAACAAACAGGAGCAGTCTGGGCTGTTAAGCTCCCTAGCCCAGAAATCCCAAGAGATAATCCACAGGCCTAAGTACAAAGCTGTTCTTGCATCTCAAAAGTGCCCAGACCAGCAGGCCAGTGGCTGCTTCAAGCCTAGTAGCTTCCTGAAACACTAATAGGTAAAAAGCTCCGCCATGAATAACTTTTTCATGGCTGCACCCTGGAGAAAGCTATGTGCAGGGACGAGATGAAACCTGCTGGCTGCCCCACCCTGGCCACATTCTTAACTGACCCGTGTATTTTTCTGTTCATCCCAGACCCCTCCTCCATATAACTCATAAGGTCTCTCCCTCCTGCCACCCCAGTCCCTACAACTTCCTTTTCCTTGCTGCCAGATCCCCATCCTAAGGGACACTTTATGGAAACAGCTGCCTCAACCCCAACCTCAGACCAAACTATTCTCAGAAAAGGACCAAATATCTGGCAGGGAAGGGGCTTTTTCTTCATGTTACACAGCATTAAAACTTTTTAAAATTTCCTTTCAAAGAGCAATGGCCAACACAGACCTGCCAGCAGGGATTATTCCAGTCTGAGGCCTGGGAATCCTGGAATCTAGAACCTCACACATGTAGGCAGTAGATAGGAGGTACAAGGCTGCAGGTAGGACAAGGAGAAGCCATCACCTGGACTCCTTGGTTTCATAGATGCCTGGACCCCACACCTTTAACCAGACCAATAATCCACTAAGAGATCTCAGAAGAAATACAGTCAGAGGCCCCAAGGAGGACCTGTCACTTTGCCTAGCAGCTTTATCCCTCCAGATCCTCAGATAAGAACCAGCTAGAGTTTTTTTCCAGCAGAAGGGACTCTGACAATTAGCAAGAACACTTGATCCTTTCATTTATTTCCAGTAATGAGCTCTTCTCATGGAGCTTGAGAAGGCTGAATTTAGCAATTCCCTGAACCAGTGAATGAAAAGGGTTTTGATGGCAGTGACCATATGCAAGCAAGGATGGGCCTGGCACTGAAGCCCACCACTTTTGCTGGGTGTGGTTCTGCCACAGAGGCCAAATTAGAGATGGCAGTTTCCAGAAGGAACTAGCTCAGTCCTGGACCTACCAACTCATCAAATGCAAATACAGGCCTAAATAAGTATCTCCCTGGTTTCCAGAAGAGAGCCCAAAACATCTGCTAGACACAAATATTATTATTTAATCACCACCCTGCTTCAACACTTTAGTCTTGAGCAGGGTGCATATAATCCCAGCTGCTCAGGAGACAGAGATCAGGAGGATTGTAGTTTAAAGCCAGCCAGGGAAAATAGTTCGAGAGACTCTATCGTGACAAAACCCTTCATAAAAAAAAGGCTGGTGGAGTGGCTCAATGTGTAGGCCCCAAATTCAAATCCCAGTATTGAAAAAAAAAAAGACTCTAGTCTTGGGGTTGGAGGTATAGCTTAGTGGTAGAGCACTTGCATAGCAATGCAAGAAGTTCTGGCTTCATTTCCTAGCAACGAAAAAATGCACCAAAAAAAAGACTAGTCTTGCAAAAGCCAACATGGCACTAGTATGAAATAAGCATTACACTGAAAATCTGCAAGCCCAAGTTCTATCATGAACTCTGTGACCATCACCTCTCTGCAACTTGGTTTATTCATTTCTAAGTCTGAGTCAATCACTTCTGTTCATCTCCTAGGATTGTTCCATGAGATCAGATGAATCAGAGTTTTTGAGACCAAAGTATAAAAAATTCTCCTGGTGTCCTTTGCAAGGGGCATGAGTGACTACATGTGCCTAGTCACAACCTATCATTGAACAGCTATCACATTCTTTCAATCCCTCACCCCCATCACCACAGATGCAGACAAAATAGACAAGTGGGTTCCATGTGAGCAGGCTGGTGTTCCATTAGAGCTGTTTCTCTAAAGTTCATGACACCTCTTAACCCAGAGATAAGAGTGGGTCACGCAGTTCTAGCTGGTTCCTGGACAAGAATGAATACTACTCAAGTGAAGCCAGAAGTCCCAGCTCAGTGGCATGTGATGACCACAATGCCAGTGGCTCAGATCTGGCATGTTACTCAGGACTGAGTTGCTGCTCATGGGGTCAGCCAACCCCAGAAGAAGGTGGAGTGGGAAGATGGAATGACTCCCCCAACCAAAAAATACTGAACAAATCCTCACATTTCTAGAACTTTTGACAACTCTAGAAGGAAGTGACTTCATGCTGCCCAATCGCAGGTAGGGGGTCCCTTGGTGGTCCACAGGCTGTCTTATATTAGGTGGTTAAGTAATGGGTGCTAGGGGAAGAAAAGATTTGATGCTTCACTCCACATACAAAATAAGTCACTTACCCCAGTTCTTCACAGAAGCTCACCAGGGCATCGAAGCCCAAGATGATGGCTTTATCAGATGCTTTGTTCCCCCTCTTTTCCTGAAGAAGGAAAATGACCACTTAGCAAGTCTTACAGATCTCACTCCCTTGTGGCCACAAAAAGTAATAAAGGAGATTGGCTGAGGGTATATGGCCTAAAGGTAGAGTGCCTGCCTACCAAGTGTCAGGCCCTGAGTCCAAACCTCAGTATTGGGAAAAAAAAAAAAAAAAGGGAGAAAAATATTTAAGTGTGATAATAAAGCCACTTACTCAACAGTGTCCCCAAACTTGACTATAGAATCTCCAGACTTCCTTCTGGGATAGAGCTTTTGAGAGTTTGTATTTCCTAAAAGTTCCTCAGGTGATTCTCATATAAAGGGCTCTGGACTGGCATTTGGGAAACACTATGATACAATCTAATTTCAAAATAGCAAACACATGTACCAGTGCTGTGTCTTCATTTATATATGAACATACATGCTAACGTATATATAAGAGGATACATATTACAACATTGACAGTGGGATGGAGGTATAGCTCAAGTGGTAGAATACCTGTGTAGCAAGTGTGAAGCACTAAGTTCAAACCACAGTATGGCCAAAATAAAATTTAAAAATTAACTTATTTCAGAGTGATGGAATTATGCATGACTGACCTTTCCTGTACATATCTATCATTGAGCTAAATCTCTAGTCCAATATGTTTAAATTGCAATTACTTATTAGATCAGTATTTTTTCATTGGGACTATATCAGCATTGTTCCAAGCTAAATCACATGATTACATTTTCCACAATAACTTTCCTTTCTATTGTACAATTTTGTGTCCTCTGAAATTAATAGTTGTTTGTTTTTTCCACTTCCTTAGATTTCAGGGTGTCACTTTACCCCCAAATGTTCTGACATAATAAAAAATTCATTTTAAGGGCTGGTGGAGTGGCTCAAGTGGTAAGAGTGCCTGAATAGCAAGTGTGAGGCCCTGAGTTCAAACCCCAGTACCGCCAAAAAAAAAAAAAAAAAAAAGCAATTCATTTTAATATGAATCAAAGATGTCAGGTTCCACTTTGATTTTTGGAAACTTACTTCCTGGAGACTTCTGGCCACCAGTTCAATGTGGATGATTTTTCTTTACACCTATGCCTAGATGTTTCTCTGACTACTGCTGCCACAGTGCTGGGACATTCCCTTGTCTCAATCTGATTCACATCTCCATCTTCCTCTCTAGGCTTTTTTTTTTTATGGTGGAAAGCATCCTTTAGTAGCCTCTAAGACATGACACAGGAAATTTTTTGAAATCTTTTATTTGAAAATATGTTTATTCCATCTCCACACTTCATTGGTTGGCTAGACAGAAAATTCTATTTTTTTTTTTTAATTTTAATTTGGGTCTCAGTGTTTTTGCTGTAGTTGTTTTGTTTTGTGCACTAGGATTTGAACTCAGGACCTCATACGTGCTAGGCAGGCACTCTACGACTTGAGCCACTCTGTCAGCAAGACAGAAAATTCTAGATTGGAAATTGTGTATTTAGAATGTGAAGGCAGGGTGTGGTGGGACACACCTGCAATCTCAGCTATTCAGGATGCAAAGATCAGGAGAATTACAGTTTCGAGGCCAGTCTGCACAAAAAGTTAGGGAGACCCCATTTCAACAAATAAAACAGGTATGATGGTACACACTATAATCTCAGATAAAAATGTGAGACCCTATCCGAAAAATAACTAAAAGCAAAAAGGCTTGGCTCTATTTGTAAGTCTGTGATTCCTAAGTTGGAGGGGGCACTGTTTTCTCTCTCCCTCCCTGGTTAGAGCAAGCTTTCTCTCGCTCCTGGTTATTACTGAACCTAACTGGGCTTAACTGGAGGCAACTGGAGATTCAGAAAAGACAAAGGATAGACAGACAGACAGAAAGTGGGGTCAGGTGTGCTGGGTGCTCTGGTGGAGACACCTAACTCTCATTGCTTCTTTTCTCTATCTTTATTCTTTAAGGCCTTACTCCTTGCAGTTCTTTAAAGCCTAGCTTAAAACCTCTTTCCTGAGACTCGCACTGCCCCGTGTTTGCTCTTAGCTTATCTTTAACCTAATCACTCTTAGAGTCTTTTGCCCGAGGCTTGCAGCTTTTCTTTATCATTCTCTCTTTAGCTTTCTTAAAGCTCGGTGCTCAGACTTGCAAAGTCTGGGTCCTCTATCTTGCACTGTCCCATGTTCTCTTTGGCTTTTCTTTAGCTTCTAAAGCCTATGTTAAAGTTCTTTCTTTAGCTTTGCTTTCTAAAGCCTGTGTCAAAGTTCTTGGTGCAGACTTTCTATCAATCCCTCTTTAAGGCATACTTTTCCCTTCAGCAATTTCCCTTTAGCAATTCTTTTCCCTTCTGTAATTCTTCACCCTTCCAAATGCTTCCCACACCAAAAAGCCCAAAGCAAAAGAATCAAGCCAAAGTCCAAAGTAAAAGCCAAAGGCAAAAAGCCTCAAGCCCTCCTTCGGCAGGGCCTTTTATAAACAGCGGAGGCTCTTGGGGAGGGGCGTGACATTTTAACAGGAGAATCCTGAGTTCCTGCTTCTCTGAATGCAAACATAGGGGATGAAGCTGTTCTGCTTTTTTCTGTTTCATGGCCAGGGCTGCACCTATCTCAGCCTGGAGGTAAAAGCAATTAAGTCGCATCTTGCCTTGCTTATGTCCAGTTCTCATAGGATTTCATAATCCAATCTCCACACTAATATATGAGCAAATATACAAATGTGTGTATATATACATATACGTGTATGTATACATGTATGCTTATTTTCATACGTGAATACACATATATGTATATATAATATACACACACATACATTCTCTTCTGTGCAATGCCTATTTATACTCTGTGCTGTGTGGTAGTTTTTGCCTTTTTACATAGCCAGGCAATTATTCAGACTACAAGTTATTTTTCCCAATATGGGCTCATTTTTCACTATTTGTAGTGTTACTTATACATAGAAATTTGGAGGTGGAATTTAGTCAAATAGAATGTCTTCCTTTATGGTTTCTATAGGTTCCTTCCTTCTTCCCTCCCTCCCTTCCTTCCTTTTTTTCTTTTTCTTTTTTGGAGACTAGGTCTTGCTATGTTGCCCAGGCTGGTCTCTAACTGCTAAGCTCAAGTGATCCTCTCTCCTCCCTAGTGCTGAAATTATAGGTGCATACCACTATACAAGCTTGGTTTCTGTTGTTTGAACTCAAAGCCTTAGCAAGTGCTTCACCATTTGATCCACACCCCAGCCCTTGTTTTTTTTGTTTTGTTTTGTTTTGTTTTTTGAGGTAAGTCTTCACTATGTAGCCCAGGCTGGCATAGAACTGAAGATCCTTCTGCCTCCACCTCCCAAGTATGGGATTACAGCTGTGTGCCACCATGCACACTGATTTTTCAACAACATAATATATTTTACCCCCCTTATTTTATAGTTTTTTGAGGTATTTATGCCATCTGTAATTCACATGCATAGAGTATCAAATAGAAACCTAATTTTATTTTTTTCTGGGGCTAATTAACAGTTATTCCTTTTCCTGTTGATTTTCCTGTTGATTTATAATGCTACCAATCTTATACCAAATTCCCTTATACATTTGGATCTATTTTTAGGCTTTTTTTTTTTTGGTGGTACTGGAGTTTGAACTCAGAGCCTTCTGCTTGCTCAGCAGGCACTCTACCACTTGAGCCACTCCTCCAGCCCCTCTTCTTTTAAAATTTTTTTCTTTTAGTTTTTTGAGACAAGGTCTCACTGTATAGCCCATCAGGCCTCGAACTCAATCCTCCCGCTGGGATTATCCCAGCCTCCCTAGTGCTAGAATTACAGGCATGTGCCATCATGCCTGGCTTGTTTTGAGGGGCTGCCCCCCTCAAAAAATATATATATATAGTATTCATATCATTTAAGTTTTTATGAAGAAAAAAAGTAAGTCTAGGGGTTGGGGGGAAGGGGTTTGGATAAGCAGTAGAGTACCTGCCTAGCAAGGTGCAAAGCCCTGAATTCAAACTCCAATACTGCCAAAAAACCCCACTTAGCTAACAAAACAAGCCTATCCCAGATTTTTGCAGGCTGCCTGCCCAACCTACATATCCATTCCCCTTGGCTATCCCTCCTAAGCCAGGAGCATCCCTCCTAGCTTACAGAAGCTTCCTTTGGCCTCAGATGTAAGCAGTGTGAAATTGGAGAGTGGTGGGTTCAGAAATGGCTTTCACTGCCCAGGACTTACCTGGAGTTTTGCTATTTCCTTCCTGATCAGGAAGCTGACTTGGTCCCGGTCATTCCTAGAGTAATAGAGTCGGCACCAAGAAGGCTTCCCATCCCTGCCAGCCCGGCCTGACTCCTGGTAGTACCCAGCCATTGACTTGGCAATATTCCAGTGGGCAACAAACCTATAGGATCCGAAAACACAAACAGCATGAGTTGAGTGCCCCCAGAGAAGAGTGATCCTGTGTCAGTAGAGCTGGAATTACTCCACAGCGGCCAGGTGTAGGGAGGCTAACACACAGGGAGGCAGAGAGATCAGAGAAAGCCAGAGCCAGGTGGCTAAGACACCTGATACCTATCACCAGGTCTCTCTGCCATAGAGCAGACCAGCCTAGAGGCCACTATAGGAGTTAAGAGGGAAATTCCAGCATATATAAGAAACAAAATATATATATATATATATATATCTCACAGCCATAGGCCCAGCAAAATAAATACCAAACTTTAAAAAACAAGGCTCTACCACATAAGCTGTATGACACTGATTAAGTCCCTTATACCATCTTTTCTGGTGGGGTGTAAGTGGGGTTTGAACTCAGGGCCTCACACTTGCTAGGCAGGTGCTCTACCACTTGAGTCACTCTACCAGCCCTGTTTTGTGTTGGGTACTTTCAAGGTAGGGTCTCGAGAACTATCTGCCTGGGCTGACTTCAAACTGTGATCCTCCTGGTCTCTGCCCGAGTGCTAGGATTACAGATGTGATCCACCAGTGCCCAGCCCTTATACTTTCTTTGAAGAAGGAAAGGGGTAATGTTCATTAAATACCAACAATGAACCAGCTTATATATTTGTCTCATTTAATTTGGTAGTAACTTTCATGTAAAGTAGTTCATTCTACAGATGATAAACTTGAGATTAGGAGACATAAATTTGTGCAAGGTCACACAGTAAAGGGACAGTAGAGCTAGGATTTGAGCCTAAGGGTATCTGACTTCAACACTGGCTTCTAACAAGCCACAACAGACTAGGACTCAACTCAAGATTCCAGTGTTCTTCCAAGTGTAGTACACTGACCCAGGGTCACTGAGAGGCTAAAAAGACCACATATGCAAGGCATTATTGTTGGCATTACTCAGGGCAAAGGGCTTCAGGCTATAGCCAAAAATGTTCCCCAAAGATTAGGTCATGGCTGGAGGTAACTGACTTCCTGACAGTTGCCAGAGTGGAGCTAAGAGGCTAAGATGAGCACTAACTCTTCTAGACTGTCAGCAAGTAATACAAAAAGATGACAGTAATAAGATCTTTGCCTTTTCACAGGGAGCAGTTTAAAACAGTTACTTCATTCCAGTCCCCCTGTAAGGTCCACCTGAAAGATGGCAGTGAACCAGACTGTTAATGGATGAATCTAACAATCTACATGCTGCCCCTTTCCTGGGGACGGCAGAACAGAACTATGTATCCACCTGAGAGCTGGTCACACAGAAACTGTCAGCATTTGGGCTGTGTACTAGGGACCCCATCCCCACCCCGTGGCACTAGAGTACATGGACTGGGTCCTTTGTGCATAGTAGCCATTGCACCATAAGTAAGGCCCCAACCAGGAAGGTAAAGCAAGAACCAGAGCTCACCTTACATTGGCTTTGTCTACTCCCATTCCAAAACTGATGGTTGCAACAATTACAGGAACCTTTTCCTCCATCCACTCATTCTGCACCTGTGTTCTATCAGAAGCCTTCAGCCCTAGAAAGGAGGGTAAGTTGGTAAACAGAACTCGAATTACCTTGGGGGCTTATCTTGGGCATTTTATGCACACCCTGAATCATCACTTCCTATCTGTATGACCTTGGACCATGCACTTAATCATGGAGCCCATGTGTGGCAGAGAGCAGTCAATAAACATTAAGAGTCAAGATTCAAACCTAAGTCCATTGGCCTCCAAAGCCTGTGCTCTTTCAGTCTAGCTCTTTATAATACCTAAGCTTATAAAAACCCATCACCTGCTGTTGAGTGGGCAGATGGTAGGAAAAAGAACTCAGGAGTTACAACTCTCATTTTAGACCTGATTCGTGTCTAGATACCTTTTAGTGGATTTAAGTGAATCACTTTAGCTCCCCATGGTTATTTTGAAAAAGATAGTGGACTACTTAAGGCCTCCAAGAAGACCACTGGTATAGGCACCTCTTACCTGCATGGTAAGCCTTGGCATTCACACCCCTGCTGCTCAGCTCTATGGCAAGCTGTTCACAAGCCTCTCTGGTCCTACAGTAAACAATGCCACAGCCAGACAGCTGGAGATGTGGGAAGAAAACAAGCAGGGGAAGAGCAGAACAATCAGCCCAATATAGTGTAACCTGCCTTGAAAGAGGCTCTGTGCTTTCTCTTGTCAACTTCCTAGTCTCCTCTGAGGCATGACACCCAGCAGGGCTCACCACTTTATAGAAAGCAGGACCAAAGTAGCTTAAAATTCAACCATTTTAACTTCTCTGCCTCCTCTCTTAAAAACCCCATGTAGATCTGCAAAGGCCTTACACATAAGGATCGCCTGCTTGTCTTCAATAAAAGACAGAGGACTGGAGAAGCCCAGTAAAGACAAAACCAGATAATGAAAGGAATAACTCACTTTGGGCACAAGTTTTGTGTGTTTTTTTGCCTCATACTTACTAGGCAAGTGCTCTAACTGCTTGAGTCACTCCACCAGCCCTTTTTTGTGATGGGTTTTTTCGAGATAGGGTCTTGAGAACTATCTGCCCAGTGCTGGCTTCAAACTATAATCCTTCTAGGTAGCTAGGATTACAGGCATGAGCCACCAGCACCCAGCTGGGCACAGGTTTTAAGAAGCCTGGCTAAGGAAGCTAGGAAATACAAAGGTCTTTGAAAATCAACATCCATGCTGCAGATAGCACCTTGGCTCCCCAACCCAGTACCTTACCCCTTTATCAGCCTTTTGTCCAAGAGCCTTAAGGCAGAAATCCCTCAGGTTCCCATAGAGATCAGGAATCAGTTCCTTGAACTGCACGTCATAGAAGAGGTTTGCCCTGAAGCAGGGAGTCTTGAAAGAAGCCACTGGTTGCTTCAGGTGCAAAGCAGCAAACACATCCTCTTGGACCTGTGGGGTAGCTGTGGCAGTCAGGGCCACACATGGGGCATGTGCCAGGCAGGAGCGCAGGGCACCCAGACGCAAGTAGTCAGGACGAAAGTCGTGTCCCCACTGGGAAACACAATGAGCTTCATCTACCACCAAGTAAGACAGCAAGTGACGGGACATGAGGGAATTCAGGGTGGGCTGGAAGGAGGCTGAAGCTGCCATCTCTGGGGTGATGTACAAAAGCTTGGTCCGGGGCTTTTCTTGTTCCAAGTCAGAGAGCAGTTCCTTCCGCTCCTGTGCTGAGAGCTTAGAGTTCAGAGAACTCACTCGTACCTTCAGGGCCAACAAATGGTCCACTTGGTCCTGAGGGCAGAAGGGGATAAGCCTAAACTGAGATGTAACTGGCCCTCAGGACCCAGTGGTGGGCTTCAGTGCAACTCTCTAGAGGATTTCCCAGTCATAAAATGCTCTCCTCCCACCTTCCAATGTCTTCTCCTTGCCCAGAAGTATGGAAGGTAAAGTGTGGTTAAGGGGACAGGCTCTGGAGTCAGAGAAACCTGGATCTAATCCTGGCTCACTTAATTGTCACATGCTCTCTGGCTGTTTCTTAACTTCTGAGACTGTTTTCACTCAGTTCATGTTCTTTGTCTCTTTCCCTCTCCTACAAGTAGTAACTACTTGATAGGATTGTAGTAAGAGTTAAGTGAAATTTTCTATCTCAAAGGTGAAATGAATGTACATAAAGGATTTGGCACAAAGCCTAAGACCTAGTGAACATTCACTAAGTACTACTGTTGTCCCCATCTTTCTACAGTGGATGGCTTTTAACCACATGGACATGCTTCCTCAATTCTGATTTGATTTGATCAGCTCATCTGGCACTGAATACACGAAATGTAGAGCAGATGTTAACAAGGTCCCAACCAGTTTCTCACCTTTTTTTCTATTGCACATACCTGTGCCCTTGCCAAAATAAAACAGGACACCAGGGATTCCCAGTATCAATTCATCCAGCTATCCTCCTGCATCTTCTATTCTAACATGTTATAGTGGATGTGTGTATGTACAGATATAGTTCCAAAGGAAAAAAAAAAAGGAAGGTGAGGGATCTTAGGCCATGAAAACACAGAAGACTCCTTTGTGACCCACCAGAGTGACATACAACCTGTATTTACATATCACTATATTTGGGCAATTTAGAAATCCAATATAGACAGTGGCATAAGCAAATCATAAAAAATAAAGACGCAAAGACCAAATAAAAGAGAAGTGAAACTTCTAGCTATTAAAAAAAACCCAACAAACTTCCCCTTATCTTTTTGAGCTACCATCTTCATTCAAAAACCTCACCTGAATCAAGGCAATGAGAGGAGAGACTACAATGGTGATGCCTTTGGCCAGCAGAGCGGGGAGTTGATAGCAAAGGGATTTTCCTGCCCCTGTGGGCATGCACACAAAGACATCCTTGTCACCTGCACAAATAGAAGAAGATAACAACTTAATTCTGCTTGTTCATCAAGGCTGTTGAAAATTAAATGTGAATATAGGAAAAGCACCTAGCAGAGTCTGGTACATGGGAAGATGTCATTATCATATTAATTCCCTCCCTTCCTATGAAAAGGGCAGGGATCCTGGAAGATGTGGAAATGTGTACAAACTATTTCCAGTAATTCTATTACAAAAGTTAAGAAATCTGAATCTGCTGGGATATGGATAATTGAAGTAAACAGTCATGAAAGAATACTGCCAGGAAGAAAGGCACATCTGTGTAGTCATACCACTTAGAGGTCCTTGTTTATCGATGTCATTAATAATACACGGCTGCTTCTCTCTTGGAAGTATGGTCACCATACGTCCAGCTTATGATATTATTACTCCTTTCTTCTCTATCGGGGGCCCAGACCACTCAATCTTCAGGAAGGGAATTACCTAGGTTAGTGACTAGGCCAAGCTATTACTGCCACCCTCACTTCTGCCTATCCTCAAACATGAGAATCTACAAAAGACAATTTGTAGGTCTGGCTATGAAATGTTAAGAACCAGGATAGCCACCTACCATTTGTCTCTTCTCTTAATGGTGTCCTAATAAATTTCGTTTTTTCCTTAAAAAAAAAAAAGAAAGAAAGAAAGAAAAGAAAACCAGCACAGCTGGGAGGTTCTGCCATTAAAACTGTAAGTTTTGGTTGACACGTCTAAAAGATTTCCAAAACCAATTATGGACCAAGAGTGAGGCGGTAGTAAAGGTCTGGAGTAGGGTGTTACGCTGCAGTGCTATGATAGTCAGGAGAAATGAAAGGCAGGGAGCTTGAGAATCATGTACCTTTCACTACAGCCATGGTCGCACTCTCCTGTAAAGGCGTCTTAAAAGAGTCAAACCCAAAGACCTTCTTCAGTGCGCTCCGGACTCGCCGCTCAAGGTCACCGGGAGTGGAGGAAGGGTGAATGTTCATCTTAGCGAAAAGCAGTAGCCAAACGTTCAGGCGAAGGTAGTAAAGGGTTGTTCGGAGAATGCTCTGTTCTGCTTTAAAAAACAGTTTTTCTTCTGTGAGTACAAGTCTACTCTATTAAGCTTAAGCAATGTATTAGTTGCAAATAGTAAAGCTGCCGGGGAACTGCCTCAAGCAATAAATTCCTGGGTAATTAGCATCTTCACTTTTACTCTCAGTGAAAATAAAAACACTGAACTATCCCAGGCCACGGTAAAACACACAGCTAGAAACCAGATCGTGAGAAGAACACAAATGTCTTCGGAATCGTTTGGAGAACGTGGAATCGTTTTTCTAGGATCCACCGTCTACTCGTTCTCTAAGCGCAGCCATGACGACCATTCTTTCCCCCCTCCCCCAGGATCCCAACCCCTTCACTCTTCTTCCTGAGTCCCAGAATCATCAATTTCCTCCCTTCACCAGCTAAAAGCTCCCTCTTTTAACCCCAAGATATCAGAGCCACTCTTGGTCGTGCGCCATCCAGGCTCTTGTAGGGCCGCTAAGTTCCGTTGTTGGTTCTGCAACTTCTTAAACACCCCCTACCCACTACGTCCAACTCTGAGAAGCCAACCCGCGGCCCATTCAGTCAGGTAAAAATCCACACAACCTTACATCCGTCGCTCAATGATGACGTTAACAAGCGCTGGCGCGCGGGGGAGGGGGGTGGGCCAGATTCAGAAACAGCCTCTTTGATTGGTTTCTATTCTGGCTCGAGTTCTCCTGGGATCCGGAAGAACTTGCTCTTCCGCCCGGAAGTGACCTTTGAGTCATAGATGTGAGCCACAGCGGGACTGTGGAATAAAATGGCGGGGAGGAAGAATGTTTTGTCGTCTCTGGCAGTTTACGCGGAAGATTCAGAGCCCGAGTCTGATGGCGAGGCTGGAGTCGAAGCTGTGGGAAGCGCGACTGGTGAGCCCAAGCTGGAAAGGGGAATCGGGTGTCTGCCCAGAATGCTGAGCACCTAGCGGGGTGGGAAGTAAAGACATGTTCATTGTACTCCATGTATCGAACCCCGGAGCCTTAAAGCGCGGTGTCCTGGATTAGATATTGCCTTAGAGACTCTGTAGTAAGAATGAACTCTCTCCGCTCAATTGTTTCTACTATTCTTCTGAAACTTACTGAAAAATCTCTGTGCTGGGCAGAGGGATGGACTTGAGGGAGAGAAGTATCCTGGGCTGCTGCATCCCTACCTGTTCCTTTGGGCTCGTTTGAGGAGGAAAGAGAGTTAAGAAAATTGTGAGTGGAGGGTGGTAAAGTCTTTCTTGTTAAAATGCTAACTTTTAATTAGGAATATGCCCTAAACGCATCTTGGAGCTTTTAGAAATACACGTTTGCGTTCTAAAGTGAATGATTATGTAGATCTGGGAAAGGTTCTGCTAGGTATTTGTGAGCTTTTTCGGCTCCTGGATGATTGATCACTTTATGAGTGTTTAAGGCCCAATTAGCAATTTTGTTTTCCTTTTTATAGTCAGAGTCAAAATGTTAGAAAGACGACAAATTTCTTTGGGGAATAGAAGGAGCAAATTACGTAATAGCTTTGGGCCTTGGGTTTTCTCATCTGGAAAGTGAGGGTGGTTGGTGCAAAAATGAGGAAGAGTCTTTGTCTTGTTAGGGGAACGCAAGTTCACAGTTGCCTATGATGTAAGGTAAAGACAGGTTAAAAATAAGTGTTTAGAGGAGGGAAAGCTTCAACTGGCAGAACAGACTGACAGCTTTAGAGTTCCTTATTATATTTGCAGTCCTGGAGTTTGAACTCAGGGCTTGTGCTTACTAGGCTGGTCTTTTACCACTTGAGCCATGCCTCTGCCCTTCCTCCCCCTCCACACCCCCCCCCTTTTTTTTTCTTTTTGGCATTGCTGGGGATCAAATCCAGTGCTTCACACATGCTAGGCAAGCACTCTGCCACTGAGTTACATCCTCAGCCTAGCCTGACCACATTAGAAATTTAATTTTTCTTTCCTGTTCTCTTAATAATTTCATCCACTAAGACATTGTCTTCCCAAATGCAGAATCTGGGCAGTGGTCACTTACCTGAGGTTTAGGTTCCTATTTTATCTTTGGAGACGTCCTGGCCATTAATTTTTTTTTCTCCATTTTTCCCACTTTGATTCAGAGGAGAAAGGTGGATTGGTATCTGATGCTTATGGAGAGGATGACTTTTCTCGCCTAGGAGGTGATGAAGATGGTTATGAAGAAGAAGAGGATGAGAACAGCAAACAGTCGGTAGGTAAATCCAGAGCTTCTCAAAGCACCATTTCATTTGCCAGAAACTGAACTGTGTGTACCAACATTCCATTTAGTGGAAATTCATTACTCTCCCCCTTTTGTTTGGTATCATTTGAAGAAAATAGGTTGAGAGCTGGGGATGTAGCTCAGTGGTAGAGCACTTGCCTTGTAATGTGTGAGGGTTTGATCTCCAGCAGTGTAAAAAAAAAGAAAAAAGAGCAAAAAAGGGGAATTCAGAATCTTTACTCCCGTTTCCTGCATGGGGAACAGGAAATGTTTCTTCATTCAAAAAGGGGGGGGGGGCAGGGCGGAGGTTGAATACCAATAGTTCTGTTTAAAAAATAAATTTGTTCTCATCTGCACCATTTTGTGTGAAGTTTTAAATTGAAATTTGGAGGGAAAGATAGTGAAATATTTATTTTAATCCAAATATCAATGGGTGTTTTATGTTGATCTTCCCTGTTTAAATACTTTTTCATCTGTAACAGTGTTTTCATCCTATTTGGTGTATCATTTATATCTGCAGTCAACTCTGTATTATTTTTAATCTTGTTTGGGGCTCATTCACATACTTCAGTTTATTAACAAGGTAAAGAAGGAAATTGTTTTGTTTCATCCACTTTGATCCTCCCTAACTTCTGTCTTCATATTTTACTTGGCATTTTTATCTGAGTGCCCTTGGTTCTTGATCATAAATATTCCCTGAAGTAGATGTTGGGTAACAAAGAAAGGAGAAGTTGTGTTTTATTAACAAGAAGGACTTAAGATACATGATCTCCTGAGCAGCATGAATTGGAATTTTAAAGTTTGGAGAAAAAGCAAGGAAATTCAAGTTAGTGCTTAGCACAAAGACATACAAAATAGAATCTGCCTATTTAGTAACAATTTTAATTGAAACACCATGTACTTTTTATTATTTGTTTGAAATTGGGGGGGAGTTGGTATTGGAATTTGAACTCAGGGCCTTTTACTTGGCAGGCAGGCATTCTACCACTTTAGCCATGCTCCCAGCCCATTTATTTCAAACTCTGCCTCCCAAGAAGCTAGGATTACAGGTGTGAGCCACCTCGCCTGGCTATATACACAACTTTTTATTGGTTGAGATGGGAGTCTTACAAGGCTGGCCTTGAACCTTGATCCTCCTAATGTCATCTTCTGAGTAGCATCTGAAATTTTTGTTAAGCATTGAAACCTACATGATAGCATTCAAATGCTTTCCAGCCAACCACAGTGATGCACACATGAAATCCCAGTGCTTGGGAAGCTGAGGCAGGAGGATGAGAGTTCAAACCAGTAAGCCCTTATCTCAAAAATAAATAAATACATCCGTACATGTATAAATAAAATTAATAAATAAACATGAGGTCGGGGGTATAGCTCAATGTAGATCCTTGCCTAACATGCAATGCCCTGGTTTTGATTCCCAGCACTGAAAAAAAAATTTTAAATAAATGCTTTCCAAATTAAATGTATTTTGTATTTTGTGCTCTTTTGTGAGATATTTTCATGCCTTTGGTTTCACCCATTAATACTGATAATTCAGAGTTGACTGAAATTGTTTAGAAAACCTTTGTAAGTTCTTAACTTTTCTCAAATGCAACATATTGCTTTTAATATACATATTGCTTAGGGTTTATTTTTGAAATGGCCAACATTTGCTTTAAATTTTCATTGTTTTTGCATTTTATTTCATATTTTTAATAAAATGTTCTCATCAAGTCCCAATATTCTGAAATGTGATTCTATTCAGCTGAGCTCCATCTCTGATTATGTAGCTGGTCAATTTCATTTTAAGGAGATTATGGAGATTGCATTAAAAATCCTTGGTTCACTGGCACTTTACAGGACAATTAAAGTTCAAAACCATCGGTATAGTTTGTCATGTCACTTAGGTGGTATTTATATTAACCTCTGCTGTGCTAAGTCATGTTTTGGTTAAAGTATAGCTTTGTTGAAAATAAGTTTCAAGTGAAACCAAATATTCCTTGGCATTTAGTTAAAGGCTTTCAAGTAGTGGAAGTGTTGGAGGTGATGGAACTGACATGGATTTAAATAGCTAACAGGGTAGCTGGTCCAGCATCTGCTCCTGATCTTTGACCTTCATTGCATAAGCATCAGTGGAATGAGGACTTGCTTTAGAGAATTCCATACCCACACAGTGCTTTGAGTCAGGCAGGCCTCATTTGGATAAGGAACATTTGGGTGGGTGCAACAGGTCAGTGGCAGTAATCTGAGCACTCGGGTGGAGGTAGAGTCCATTAAGCTGGACCCAGGATAGACTGTGCATTGCCCTTTAGTTTCGCCTTTCTTGAGTCACTTAAGGCTCTGATCATTTGGTACTCATTTCCATGTTTTTTTGTTTTGTTTTCTTTTCTTTTTGGCATTGCTGGGGTTTGAACTCAGGCACTAGACCTTTTTTTGTGATGGGTTTTTTTGAGATAGGGTCTCTCGAACTCTGCCCAGGCTTGCTTCAAACCAAAATCCTCCTGATCTCTGCCTCCTGAGTAGCTAGGACTCCAGGTGTGAGCCACCAGCACCCAGCTCCATGTTTTCACGTTAGTGCAAATACCACTGGGTTGAGGTACTGAAGCATAGATGTATTGAGTCACAGTACTTTGAAGCTGAACAATATTTTGATAGATACATGTCTGATGTACTTGTGGATTTGAAAGCAAAGAAGGGGAAAAAGGTTCATAATCATCGTTTTAGTTAATGTTTCAATGGAAATACTATGCCTGTTTTATCCTGTGGCTTGATCTTACTCTTTTCTGAAACACATTGAAATTCTCTCCACTTTCGTGATTTTTATTTTCATTGATGTGGATTGCAGTACCACTGGAGTAATTGTTGACTTTGAGCTGCTGATGTTTTTTTATTCTTTTCCCTCCCCACAGAAAATCTTTTCCCCTACTCTTTCTCTGGTTCTGAGTCATGTGATAGGGAAGAGGTTCTTGGTGGGATGATCCCAGCTGGGTAAATGGACTGTTTGCTCCATTCTCTGGTTATGCATGTGAAACCCTTCAGGCCCACTCCTTTTAAGCTTAATCCTCAATTCTTTGTCTTGTAGGAAGATGACGATTCAGAGACTGAAAAACCTGAGGCTGATGATCCAAAGGTATTTGGTGTTGGCTATGGTGGGGTGGCTGAATGCTAACAAGGCATTTTAACATTTTGGCTTAGTTCATGTGTCTGGTCAAGATCTGTCCCACTAACATACTGTGTCACTATGTGGACATTTTCTGGGGTAAAACCAGCTTTCTAAAGAACCCCAAGACTGCTGGGCGCCGGTGGCTCACAAAGCAGAGATCAGTAGTATCGCAGTTCGAAGCCAGCCTGAGCCAATAGTTTTCAAGACCCTATTTAGAAAAAAAACCCATCACAAAAAAAGGACTAGTGGAGTGGCTGAAGCTGTAGGTCCTGAGTTCAAACCCAAGTACAAAAGAAATAAAATAAAATAAGAACCTCGCCTCAAGACCGCCTAGGAATAAGTTCTGAGGCTGAGGCAGATTGAATTTCCAGCCTTACAGATGTGTTAGACTTTAGAAAGGCAAAAAGCCCACAACCCATGCACACTGTGCATCCCAGATGGGGCTTTGTGGGCACTGCCCCTGAACATGGTTTCGAGGTGGGAGTATTTATGGAATCAAGAAGGCACAGGAGTGCCTTGTATACGCTGGCTTTTTTTAGTCATAAAGAAGGACTTTAAAAGGGTTGAACCATGAGGCCTTGACTCAGCTGTTGAGCCCAATTCCTGTTTTCCCAGGATGGACCCTTCCACTCTTCAGTAAGCTGTGTAGCAGGATGGTCCTTTTCTTTTTTTTTTTTTTTTTTTGATACTGGGGTTTGAACTCAGGGCCTTGAGCTTGCTAGGCAGGCACCCTGCGACTTGAGCCAGACTCCCCAGCCCTAGAATGGTCTATTTTGAAACAACCTAGCCACTTGTCTCATTGGTCCAGGCTAATAGCAGCTGAGAATAATTAGTTGTGATTTCTGTCATGCCTTGATCCTATGGTGATGAAGATCAGGACCCCTTGTTCTGGTAAAGTGCTGTGCTGTGCTCTGAATGTTGGATATGTACCTTGTGAGGAATCATCTTTTATGGGACATTCCCCCCCTCCAAACAGAAAGACTAACTCCATGGGAAATAGGGGTCATGTTTTGTAATGAAAAAGCTTTGAAACCAGCTGAAGCCTTCAATGAGACCTATTGGGATTTAGGGAAATTATGTGCATATAGTCCCTCAGTATCTGTGAGTAATTAGTTCCAGAACACCCTATCTTTATTTCCTGTGGATACCAAAATCCACAGATGCTTGCAGTCCTTATATAAAATGTTGTTGTATTTGCATATGTGCTGTGCACATATTCCTGTCTAATTTACATCTAATACTATTTAAATGCTACATAAATAATTGGCACGATAGTTTTTTTCAAAAAAAAGAAAGAAAAATCCATGATTGAACCAATGGATGTGGAATCCATGGATAGGGAGATCAGATGGTATAATAGAAAATGTAGCATGAGCTATTCCATATTTGGACTGATTGTGTGATTGGATTTGACTGTGTGCAGCCATTGAAATAAATTCATAAGGCTGCACACACTGGTTTATAGCTAATCTTGCCTACTTGGGACATGGAGATTGGGAGGATCATGGTTTGAGGCCAGCCTAAGTGAAAAGTTCATGAGACCCCCCCATCTCAACATTAAAAAAGGTGGACTGTAGTGGTTGCGCCTATTATCCCAGTTATGCAGGAAGCATAAATCCTGAGCCAGGCAGGACATAAATGTGAGACCGTTAGAAAAAAATAACAAAACCCAAAAGGGCTGGGGTTATGTGGCTCAAGTGATAGACTTGCTTAGCAAGCATGAGACCTTGAGTACAAATCCCAGTACCACCAAAAAACAAAAAAAAGAAAAGAAATTCATGAAAGGTGGGGATGATTCAGATAGCTTATTTAACCAAGAAAGTAATTTTTGGCATTAGCATGAAGAGAAAGAAAATATGAGCCCTTGAAATTAAATGCAAACTACTTTCTGTACAGAATAAAGAACCCAGGTCTTAGAACTCATCTAAACATCCCTGGCAGAACTAGTTCAAATTTGGTCCCACTCTGGGCTTGCAGAAAGAAAATAGTAATAGTAGTGTTCTTAGTAGTATTTGTCTGTCATAGAATTTGAGACATACGTGCCTAAAACCTGCATGTAAAATAAGTCTGGGGGAGCCATCAGGTATCTGGTTTGGGTTGTGGAGAAAAAGGATCTGTAGGACCTGGAGTTTTTATGTGTATAGTTGCAGTCTATGCTTAATGACCCAAGCCTTGTATGCCCATATGAATAATAAAACAATAAAAAATAAATAAATAAAACTTAACCAATTGAAAAATTAAAAAAAATGATAGAAGGTTGGCTGGAGAACAGGGTGCATTGCAGTTAACCCTCACCTCTTCTGGAGTGCTATGATTCTGTCAGCAAATCCTTAAGGACAGACATGACTATGAGAGAGGGAGGTCCCATGAAAAACAAAACAGATTTTGCTGCTGTCTGATAAACAACAGAAAGATAAGACACCACAAAAAGGCAAGTTTGGGACAATTGTGAATGTTTTTTGTGCCCAAGTTACCTAATCTCACACCAAGATTAGAAAGACCTGCCATTTAGACTTGCTCTTTGATCGGTGTGCTTTACTGTACTTCATTTATACATTTGAATTTCAAATCTTGCTGTGGAATGAAAAGTTTTCATGGAACAATTTCTGTTCCTGTTGGGCAGACCTCAGAAACCTGAACACAAAATACAACCCTTTGTTTGTTTGTTTGTTGTGATTTTTTTTTCAACATAGGTTTTCTGAACTAATTGCCCAGAGCTGGCTTTGAACCTTGATCCTCCTGATCTCTGCCTTCTGAATAGTTAGGATTACAGGCGTGAGCCACTGGTGCCTGGCTTGGTTTAGTTCTTTTGAAGGATGACCATGGAAGGTTTAGACAGAGTTTGCCCAATTAGGTGTACTACAGTACTCTGTGACTGCCAGAGGCCAACCTCGGAGAGTCTTCATGGCATCCCCAAGGACCAGAAACTCCCCAGCGTGAGTCTCCTGTGAAACTCCTGTCCCTGGAGTCCTCCCACCTGAGCTGGCATCAGGCTGTCTTCCAGGTAGTGGCCTATACTTCAGATTCAGAACATTTTTGACACATTTTAAGTTTTAATTTTAAAGTCTTTTGTATTGTTCTAAACACTTGTTTTGAATAGTTCTGCCTTGTATATATAAAGTTTCTAACAGTAGGATGTGTTAGTGGAGTAGATCTTTTTTATTTATTTTGGCGGTGCTGTGGCTTGAACTCAGGGCCTCCTGCTTGCAAGATAGGTACTCTACCACTTGAACCATGCCTCCAGTCCTTTTTTGCTTCTGACTTTTGGTTAGGGACCCATGTTTTTGGCTCAGGGCTGGCCTCGGACTATGGTCTTCCTAACTATGCCTCTCGGTAGCTGGGGCCACAGGTGCATGCCACCACACCTGGCTTGTTTAATGGGATGGAGTCTTGCTCTTTTGGCGGGGCTGGCATTGAACCACAGTCCTCCCAATCTCCACCTCTCAAGTAACTGGGATTATAGGCATGTACCACCACACTCAGCTGGAGTAGATCTTTAGGGGTGTTATTTAGCAAATGAGTTTCTGTCACAACTGTCTTTTCCACTAGATGGCACTTTCTTTTCTATTTGAACTTTTCATGATCCACTTTTAATTTTTTGTATGGCTGTTCTCAAAACATTTTGGTTGCATTATACAACTAAAAATTGAGGCTCTCAAAGAGATTTTGTTCATTTTGGTTTTATGCATTGGTATTTACTATCTTAGAAGTTGAAATTGAGAAAAACTTAAGTTATTTATTTAAAAATAACAAAAATCAACCTTACATACTAACATAACATTTTTATGAAAAAGGATTTCTGAAGCAAAAAAAAAAAATGATGTTAGTACAAAGAGTAGTCTTATTTTACCATTTACAAGTCTCTTTAATGGATCACTTAACAGAAGATGGCTGGCTTCTCATACTGCATGCTTTTATATCATCAGACACTGATAATTTGAAAAATATTGGTTTACTGAGTTAGCCAGATCTCCCAAATATTGGCACATTTTGTTCTAAAATATTTTTTTAAATTGCATTTGTTGGTGATGTTGCTGGTGACAAGCTGTTCAGTATTAGAAAGCTATCAAGCTTATAATAGGGAGTACATTTCCTGAGATTCTAATAATTTTTCCTGGAAAATTTAAATTTTATAGCCAATAAGTATTACCAGTTTTTGTTGAAGTGATGTGCGTCAGTTTTGTTTTATTCTGTTTTGGGTTTTTTTGGTAGTACTGGGGCTTGAACTCAGGGCCTACACCTTGAGCCACACCACCAGCCATTTTTGTGATGGGTTTTTTCCAGATAGGGGCTTGCAAACTATTTGTCTAGGCTGGCTTCTAACCATGATCCTCCTGATCTCTGCCTCCTGAGTAGCTAGGATTACAGGCATGAGCTACTGAAGTCTGGCTGTGCTTTAGTTTTGAAAACTTATCTGCCAACTACCAAAGTCCAAATAATGAGTTTGTCATTCTTTCTTGTAAAAATGTTGTTCTGTGAAGAAAACAGCTAGTTCAACTTGCACCTTAAGCAGTCACACAATATATACTTGCTTTTCCTTGAGACAACCATCTTACTTTGGGATGCATCAGAGGGGTTTGTGCATGCCTCTCGTCATCACATGTAATGAGATGTGAGATTAGTTCTCAAGGGTTAAGAATTAATAAAACTACTTTTAATGCTTTACTTAGTATGTGAAAAAAGCAAATAATGACTTACTGTTATAAAAATAGTTTGGACTTTGTAGGCTCCCCTAGGGATCTACAGATCAACTTTGAGAACAACTATTCTAAAAAAGAAATATAGGTCTGTAACAAAATAATTGCTTTATAGCTGCTTTGTTGTTATGCAAATATCTGTTAATTCCCCTTTTGAGACGTAGAACTCCTTGGGAGCAGTAGAGCGTCCAAAGTAAGACAATTCAGCCTAATATGGTAGAAGATAAAGGTCTGAAATCAGACCTGGGTTTGAGTGCCAGCTCTCCTTGG